AGACACACACACACACACACACACACACACACGTACACACGTGAATACACACTCACACATATACACAAGCACACACATACATACATACACACGCACTCTCACTCACACACACACACACACACACACACACACACACACACACACACACACACATAAACTCACCAGGTCCGCCAACCTCCTGAACGTTGAACTTAATCTGGGCACCTTCACCTAAGGTGTTGCTCGCTATGCAAGTGTAGCTTCCGAAATCTGGGGAAAATAAGACAATGTTTATCAATATTATCGTCGTAAATGTCCTGTCTAGTTGTGCGTATGCGTGAGTGCACCTAACCTTTGTAACATCTACTACTGCCATTGTTAACTACCAAGACAAATTTCTCCCCGCAAGATGAATAAAGATTGTCATTGTCATTGTCATTGTCATCGATACATGTCTCAACCATGTCATTAACTGGTTGCAACAATGCCTGTCTCATTTATGTCATTAACTGTCCGAGCCAATACCCACTTCACTTATATCATTAACTGGCTACATCAACAATGCCTATCCCACTGTGTCATTAACTGGCTGCAACAATGCCTATCTCACATAAGTATGTCCTTAACTGGCTACATAAATACCTATCTCACATGTGTCATTTACTGTCCGTGCCAATACAAACCTCTCTTATGTCATTAACTGGCTGCAGCATTGCCTATCTCACATAAGTATGTCATTAACTGGCTGCAATAATGCCAATCTCAGATGTCTCACCCGTGTCATTAACTGTCCTTGCCAATACCCGTCTCACATGTGTCATTAACTGATTGCAACATTGCCTATCTCACCCGTGTCATTAACTGGCTGCAACATTGCCTATCTCACCCGTGTCATTAACTGGCTGCAACATTGCCTATCTCACCCGTGTCATTAACTGGCTGCAACATTGCCTATCTTACAGATTATGTCATTAACTGGCTGCATCAATACCTATCTCTCCTGTGTTCACCTACGTCATTAACTGGCTGCGACAATGCCTATCTCACCTGCGTCATCGTTCATCACCAGGCTGAGTATTCTGGTGTTGGCCCCCGCCAGTTCTGTGTTGCCCTGGAACCACCGATACGTAATATCGTTGGGCACCGCCGTCACGTCACACGTCAACGACACGGGCGCACCGGACTGAGCACTTTCTTGCTTGGGGGAGGCGACGTTGGCTATCGGGACATCTGTGGAATGTTGGGGTTTATTTATTTATTTATTTTATTTAATAAATAAATAAATAAATTAACCTATATATTCATCTACTTATTTATTTCTTAATAAATTTGTTTATCATTTTTCACATGCATTTATTCATTTATTCACTCATTCATTTATTTATTTTTCAAAATCGATTATTTTTTCATTTATTTATTTGTTCATTTGTATGGTTCATTTGTATGGGGTGATAAAGATCCAGATCCATGTACATAAATAATATTCATTAGTCAAACCAATTTGGTCTTTCGGGATATTGTTTCCAATATCCATATTCAAAACCATCCATCCCACCCGGTACATCCATTTACCCATCCGTCCATTTATCCATTCATCCCATCCATCCATCCACCCACCCATTCCTTCTTTTCTTCCATCCACCCCAACTTCCATTCCTTCCAAAAAACCCACCCATAATTCCATCCACCCACCCATCCATTCCATCCAATCCCTTGGACCTTTCCATCCATCCATCCCCCCTTTTTACCGGTTTCCACTGAATGCTGACGGTGACGTCCGGGCTTGTGACGGTGTCGTCCCCGTTAGACGCCCGACACCGGTAGGTGCCACTGTCTGTGCGGTCAGGGTTCAGCACGGTCAAGGTCGGCGTGGCCAAAGTGCCCCCGGAGTACTTGCTGGGGTCAGAGGTCAAGTCCAGTTGTTGGTTGTTGTGGGGGGGGGGGGGTGTTAAAGAGATAAAGAGATGAAATGGGAATCTATATACTATATTATATATTGCGTACATGAAGATGGTTGTCTTCTATAATAGCTGAAAAAACTACGGAACGTAGTTAGTTTTAGTAGAGGTTTTACGGCGCTCGCAACTGCATAAGGTCATATAAGCGCCAGAAGATTAGAGGTGTTGCAAGAGAGTAACAAACATAAAAAAAAAGAAGGGGAGATAAGGACGATAGACGTTTGATAGGAAAAGAGAAGCAAACCACACCAGAGCACCCGCCAACCATCCACTACGACGGAACGTTGAACCATGGAAAAATCACTGAAGGTAGTTCGAAGACCAAGC